GTCATAGCGACTAATAACAAGACGCTGGTCCGTCCCCCAATTCCGTCCGACTTTTCGTTCCGTTGCCAAAACTCGTCGTAGCGAAACAAGAATGTTTTCTTATCAGGTGTTATGAGTTACCTGACTTTTCTCCCAACACGACACGTGGGGGGAAGTTTCCAAATTCAGATACTTTTTTGTTTTATTGGTGACAACATGTAGAGAACTGCAGACACTGTGCTGACTTGAACACAAGGACCGGACTTGTTTTACAAACCGGAGAAAAGAAGCTCCGCACCGAAACGCCTGAGCTAGCATCGAAGCTAATTATTAACTCTGTGGAACAACCTGGTCTGACTCGGTGCAATAGTCATGGACGCCGTGGTGAAATTCACCAACCAAAGTCAAGGAAGAGACCGTATATTCAGGTGGGGTTTTGGATAATTTGTTTGTTACTGTTAAAAAAAAAATCGCAGCCTTCATTTGTCTGTTTTTGTTTCTCAGAGCGACCCAGTATGCCTGTGCTCTTTCCATTTATTTACTGCGGAACAACTCGGAAAGAAAAGAGCTTGTGGCCAAACTCAAACAGCTGGAAACAAACATGAGTTCTGGACGAAAACGTGAGTATACTTTAAAAACATTTTATATGCTCAAACCATTTAATGGTTTAACCATTTCCTTTAGCCTGTTCTAAGTATGTTTTTATATACTGGGGAAAAAAGTTTTACAGAGGGGAAATATTATTTATTTATCATTTATTATCTTTAGATAATCTTTTAGTACCTTTCTTCTTTAAAAGGATGAACCGTTAGGTGGGAAGAAAATGCCTTAAGACCACTCATACACAATATGACAAATTTCAAGTTAAATAAACCATATTCACTGTTATATTTCAGCTTAGCAAAGTTTAGCTAGGTAAAACTGTCTTCTGGTAAAAATGTATGAAATATCTTGGAGGAGAAAGGCAAAAAGTAAAGATTGACGAGGAGCTGAAATTCTGTTTTCTGCATGAATGGACACAAATTTCTGTTATGATGACAAAAGCACAACTGAGAAAGATGAATGATGTGGAGCAGCCCGTCTCGCAGCTTTTCTTGAACAGTTTTGCAACTTTTTAAAAAAAATGTACCAGTAAGCTGTAATAAAGCTACATTTTGCTTCAGTTAGGTTTGTAGCTTTGTTTCCTTTAGGTTGTTTCAGTTTGTGGATGTGTGTTATTTGCACAGGCTTTGGTTGTAGCACTGATAAGACTGACCATAATAAATCACAGATCACTCCACGTGGGGGGGGGGGGGGGGGGATGGGATTGTTAAACATTTTGAACTTTGACACAGATTCATCAGATTAAAGCAGAAAAAACAAGATGTCCTTCTAACAGAACGCTGCTATTGTTGCACCGTTTAATGATCTCCCCTCTGCGTCAGAGCTGCAGACGAGCGGCCTCACTGCTTTTGTCTGCCTGCTTTGATTATTGTGAGACAGCAAGTGGAAACATTATTTATTTGCAGCATGCTTTCCGAGTAGTTTTCGAACTCACACAACACCTAATTTGAATCCTCTAAAGCAGGGGTGTCCAAACATTTTGTCACATGGGCCAAAATCAAAGTCAGAAGGACCTGAGGGCCAATTTTTTTCCCTTTACCTGCTCAACAATAAACTAAGCATTGAAAACTTAAATTAAACAAATAAAGTAGTCAGATTTATTGCTGGAAATGGACGTGTAAATTAATCTAGATCCAGAAGTGTTTTACAGGATTCCCTTATTGAAAGAAATTTGGCAATTTTCTGTTTTAATTGGGGAATAAATAACCTAATTTAGTTAATTCTGATCATTAAAATCAGGATTTAGGTCACTCTTTTGTTAAAAATGCTTGCTGTATTCAGACAAATTTAATAAGTTTATTAAAGTGAATTGGAGGGCAGCAAAATCAGCTTTTAAGTAGAAGTCACTAGATAGATGTGGAAAAAGCTTAGAGCTTTTTTATTTAAAGACAAATTATTGGCATCGTTGCCAATATTCTTTATTGGACGGAGATTTTACTTCTTCTGTGATAATTTTGCCGTAATTAAACATAGAAAATCTCCATCTACACCTGTGCAGGGGGGCCACACCTTGGACACCCCTGCTCTAAAGTATGCTAAGCTTGCCTAATAGTCTTGTTTTCTGCAGATGAATTGTATGTTCTTCCTCACGTTGATAACCCTTGTTGCTCCCTCCTGTCAGTGCTCAGGCTGGGAAACGCAGCACACTCCATCATGGCTGCCAAACAAACCATGCAGTTCTCTGACCGAGTGCTCTGCCTCTGCCTCACCGTGGCCAACTTCAACCGGGCCCTCTACTTCGTCTGCGACAACTTGCTTTGGGCCAGAAGCGTCGGGCTCCTCCGCGCCATCGACAAGGAGCGCTGGAGCCTGAACGCCTCGCGCTGCTACTTCTACTCGCTGGCCATGAACTTGGTCCGAGACGCTTACGTCGTCCTCCAGCTGATGGTGAAGAAGCGGAAGGACGAGGAGTTCAAGCAGAAAATGAGGCGGCACGTCGGCGAGAGTCCCGACGTGGCCGAGGCCGTCATTCCTGAGCTGGATGCTTTCGTCTTCCTGCTTTTAGAAACCCTGAGGTCCAATCCGGCCGTGGCTTTGGACACGCTGAAAAACATCTGCGATCTGTTCATTCCCTTAGACAGGCTGGGGATTTACAGGACCAACGCAGGAGTGGTTGGGTTCTGTGGGCTGATATCCTCGCTGCTCGGCATAGTAACGCTCGCCTGTCCTGCTTTAAAGCTCAAACCGTGAAAACGAGTGGAGTTCAACTAATTCTCGATTTAATCACGGGAACGTTGAATTAACCTTCAATCTTCACATTTTACACTGAACCAAATCCAGGAATCACCAGCTGACTTAGAAGTCTTTAGAAAATAAGATTCAAGACTAAACCTTCGTACATTCCTGTCTTCTGAACCACCAGCACTTTCACAACAAACACTTTGCTACTGATATCAAAAATATGTATATTTTTTATTTGAAAACATCAAGAGTTTGTCAGGGTCAGTTTTGAAATCTGCTGCCTGTTCTGCGATAAAATGCTGCTAAAAGTTTAGTTGATGAGAACTGAATCGATTCTCAGCCAAAACGAGATGTCAGGAAAGTGAATTAATGGTAAAAGTATTTTTTTTCTGGCATGAAAAGCATGAGCCGGACTTCCACTGTGATTAATGTGCTTTAACTTAGAAGAAAGAGAACACGAATCTATGCACATCTGAAGACACCGTTTTTTTGTGTATTGTTTACAAATTCAATTCTTTGGTGTGGATGAATTTAAAAACCTCCATTTTTGATTCAAACACATTAAATGTTCAGCATCATCTCTTGGTGTAATCCAGTTCAAAAGACTTGGTTTTTCTTTGTGATTTGATTTACTCACGGATGTCTTTGCACCCCGACAAGCCTGATCATTTCAGAAACAGCAGCTCTGCCCTCTRCTGGACACAACACCGTCATCAGTTCATCAAGAGCTTTATTTTYGATTTCAGAGACAATAATACACTTTGTTTTTGAAAGCGTTTCCTGGAGGACGGCGCAGTGAATCATCATCCATCGTYGGAAATATGCAAAAATACAATATGTTATGGTTCCCTTTCACAATACTTGAGTTTTCACTGCGAAGAGAAGGAAACGCTATGCAGAAAAGCACAAACATACAAAATCAATAAATACGTAAAGAAAAGGCAGAAATAAGTTGGAGGCAAAGGGCTTGATTTCACATTTCCTCTGGTGGTTTCTTTCAGAACCAACAAAGCGTTTCAAGCAGTTTTACTTGGAGTTTGAAATTAAATTCAGACTATTGCTAAAAAAACATTTAACAWGTGTCTTAGAAAACTCTTAATTCTACATGTTAAATTATCAGAGTTCTGATCTAATTAAATGTTTTTAGATTTTATTCAGACAAAAGTAGTTTCAGGAAGTGGCGACAGTGTTAAACTATAGATKTGTAAATGCTGCTGGTATGTTTTTATTTATCTTTATTCTCAGTAAGCTAATGGTTGTGATGAATCACTGCTTTCTGAATGAAAAAGGCACCGTCAGTAGTTTGCTCCTGCAACAATTAAAAGAAAAAAATCTTAAATGCAGTTTGCTTAAAAGGTGTAGTTTCTCAAGAAGCACATTTTACACAAACGATACGTTTCTCTCTCACACTGTGATAATTTTAACTTTTTTCCCCCTCAGGAAGTGTCACCAATGATATTAGTTTCAAAATAAATGCAAAGTTAAATTAATTACTTTTATCTTCAGTGTTTTGTGGTGGAAATGTTTTGTCATATTTATGTTGATTAGTATATATTTCAGGACTTTCTTGTTTTATATGATAAACTATGCAAAATGCTAATAAATAAGAGTATTTAAGTGAACCGTCTTCATGTCTTTTCACATATAAAACAAAACCCACATTTAAATTAATTCTTACAGTCCATTTTCTCATGTTTATCCATGAAGGACACTTTTATTTTGAAAATCAATATTTTATTTTATTTTTTACATAAAATAATTCTAAGATTTAAAACTGACTTTTTATTTTTGGCACACCAAAGCTTTAAGAATAGAGCTTTTAATCAAATTTTACGACTTTAAACACCTTTTGTTTCTCCAGTGGTCAGTGCTAATAAATATTTGTTTGACGAGTTTATATAACACGACTCAAATCCTTCAAACACACCAGAGCTCTGAGGATGAAAACGGTCTGGTTAAAAACCAACCGAGTACTTTGAAATTATCAGAATTAAAGAGGCTTTTTTTTAAAGATGGAGTTGTGCAAAGATTCTGCAGTTTGATAGAGGTGCCAGATAAAACCAGTGAAATTTCTGTACAATTCTTGATTATCAGATAAAATTAAGACAAAAAAAACTGAAGCTACAACTGAAATAAAAATGAAATACAAAATAAGAAACACAGATAAGACAGATTTTACACAACAGTAACTGAAATCTTCACGAGACAACAAAGCGGGAGCGTTTTAGGGACGACAGAAATAGACGATTCGCGTCGAGGCAAACTTCACCTTCATTCTTCCGTTTACACCGACACAAACGCTCAGAGAAAACAGAAATAAAACTTCTTATTCTAACGAGTGAAATAAAACGACAGGCTGTGATTAAACACGCATACCTGTCGTTCATTTAAAAGCCTCTCTAACCCAGAAGGCATTTCTTTCACATTCAGCTGAATAACATGAAACCGTTCAGTGAAGTGAAACCCCGACATTAAAGGCTTGAACCACAGTAATATCAGTGGACTAAAATCTGCAGTGACTCTGATCGTCACCAAGATAAATACACTGTGAGCTTTCTAAACTTTACGCACGTTGGATAAATTGTCGTTTTATCTACATGTAAACAAGGAATGATTGAACCTGTAAGACTTGAGAGATGAAAACATAAAAAGGCAGCTCATGGTGCTGTAGGCTACATGTGGGTGAAAGTGGCGAAATGTGCACAGCACTGTCCTAAAACCAGAGTTTTAAAGATCTGTGAAGGGTCGATTTGTGGCAACATTTCTGAGAAATGAAAAAGGACAACAGCATTAAGTGATGTGATATGCCTTTTGATTGAAGCTCTAAAAAAAGGGCTGCAGGATAAATATAAGTACTGTATCACAATAAGAACTGCTGAGGAGTGAGGAGAATGTGGAGCGGGACTTTCCATTGAAATTAAAATTTATGGGAATTTTAAAAGATTTTAAATATAGTTGGGGTGAAAATACACAGTAGCATAATGCAGATTTCTGTATCACATCCTAAAACTGATAAACCTGAGAGCGTAAAACGTTTTCTTCCAAGTTATAAATACTTTTATTGTGAAATGCTGTTTACTGAAATTCAATTTGTTTTGATGCAGATAAAATCAAAGGCAAAAATAATTATTAAATACTATTTAGTTATATTTAGAATTGTGTGCATAAAGTAAAAAAAAGGTGTTTTCCAACAATTTGTGATGCATTAATGCCATCAAATGCAAAGTAGGTTAATAAATGAGTAGTGATGGACAAAGCTAAACAAACGGTTCTGCTGTTAGCGGAACCACGCCCACCACTGGTTATTTTTCTCATCAACTTTGTCCATGATTTTATCTGCCTAAAATAAAAGGTTTATGTTTTGTTTTTGATATGGTTTACTTAATATACAAAAACAAAATTGGAGGTAATTCCCATAAATAACCATAAATAATTCCAATGAAAAGTTTCCAATTTGGAATATTTCCAGAATTCCTCAGCTTAATCTCTTAATGTTAAAATATTTCTCTGTAATATTCTAATCGCCTGCTTACCTAGCATTGTGCAGCCCTAGTTTAAAACTATGGACTCTAGAGCACATTTTGTATCAGATCAGGTCTTAGTTCTGCAGAAAAATGTTTTTTGTTTGGATCAGAMAGAAAAATCGATTAGTTAAATGACAGTTTAGTCAAAATGTGATCTTAGTGTAAGAAATGAACATTTGATGCAAGTGAATATATTTTTCTATCTGCAAGAAGCAAATACACAACACTTTTTGTATTTAAATACAAAATCTTTAGTATATCCCTAAATTTGATTGTACCATCACTTCAATACTAAAAAACCAAACCTCTGAAGTTGAAAGGCAGTAAAGGATATAGTTTCAAAACGACGCAGTTTGGCAGGAAGAATCACGTTTTTACAGCAGAACAGAATCCAGCTACAGCTATCAAGGCTTCTGAAATCCATTTAAAGGGTAACATTTGATCACGAGTTGGTGGTCTTAGCCCACTAAAAGAAAAAAAAAAGAGAAAAAGAACCTTGCTTCTTGATTTCATAACACTCTGAGGAGTAAAGTGAATAGTGTTTCAGCAACTTCTGAATCCAGCTGGGCAGTCCTTGGGTCCACTTAAAGAGTCTTTCTTTTGGTCCAGTTAAGTCCCTATTGAGGGGAGGGGCAGTTACTAGGAACATCCCTGAGCTCGGTCATAGTCTGTGATCAGGCCTTTGATATGTGACAGTTTGGTGTGGAGATACTCGCATCGCTTCTTCTCTTCTCGATACCCAGGAAACTTCTAGAGAACAGAAAGAAAAGAAAAGAAAGCTGTAGAGCGGTTTCAGGAAAGAAGATCAAAAACAGGTYGTACATTTCTGATTATAGGTTCAAAGGAGCCTCATTTTCATGTGATAAATCAGATCTTTGAAGTGCGGCTCTGGATATAAGTTATGATCAAATAAAAATCTTGCCTGGTGAAAAACGGCTCTTTGAAAACCCACTTGATAAAATAATATAGTAGTTTTATTTGGACCAATGAGCTAATGGCTAATCCAAATACGACCAAGACCAAAGTGGATGATGGCTGTCTTAAACAGAATCAGGTCTTTACACACTTCCACATTGCTTTTAATTTTTCACAATTTTGCTTTGAATTTTGTGATTATTTGTAACTTCAAATAGTTGCAGTAGCAGCTAACTGTAGCACTGTATTAATTATTATTTTAGAAATACAAATGGCCTTTTTTCAAATTATAAATTATGTGGTGTTTAGAACATACATAATCTACTGAACAAAGAAAAATGATTACATTTAGACACATTAGCATTAATATAAGCTTAAATTTTATTATGTCTTAAATATAAATATGATCCCAATACAGCAATTCAGTTAAAAAGAACACCCTCGCTAAAAATCCACTTACTTGACTAATATAAGAAAATAATACAGATCAAGATTATCATAGTGGATTCTTTGTTGCTCTTTTCACAACTAAATCAAAACTTTTCTTGGCTTGAAAGTTGGCCAGCTGAAAATTCAGTGACAAAAAGGGAAACCTTACATTTAAAGTATTCCCTTTGTGACAGGATAAAATGGTAACGAGGGACAGATCTGGCCCGCAGGCCTTGAGTTTGACACAAGTGGTGTAATGTGACAATGAGGGTAATGTAAATGTTTATGGAGCACCRACTAGCCATTTACTCATCAGTCTGGTAAAAATGAAAATTTTAAACTGAAGTCTTTCAAAGAGCTACAAGATAAGATATWAACTATGGTAATCTTTATACAGAACCACACCTAAAAATATGAACCATGCTTTTATTGCAAACTGTTGTGTGTCCATCGTACTGACATGTTGACTTTATTTAAACCAGTTACATTTGTTACTGCTACATGTACAGAGAATATTTAAATATGCAGTAGTCTAAGTAGTTTTTGAAAACAAGCTTCTGTCTGAGGCTGAGTGATAAATTAAAATGAAATAAATTTTAAACAAATCTTACTTTCTTATATTTTCTGTACTTCTGTTGTATCTGTTCCTCCATGAGCTGACAAAAAACACAAGAGACAAACGTTACTGTGCAACAGAGTATTAGCTCAATTTATTTATTTATTTATTTATTTTACTTTAAAGCTTTGCTAAACGAAGAAGCTTCGCAGCACAGACAGTACCTTGTACTCTTGTGTTCCCGGAGAGAGAGTGTTGATCTTTGAACCCAACTGAACAAACATCTCAGTGATGGCTCCGATCCGGTCGTGCAGAGCTCTGTACTCGTCGTATTCGGCACAGAAGTCGTCGTTGTACTGTTGGCGCTGTTCCACTGATGTTATGGCGCCGTATTTTCTGCAAAAGAAAAACATTACCCTTTTCATTTTTGTTTGTAAAACAAACAAACAAAAAAATTAAATAAAAAAATGATGGTTGCCAAGTTGTTTCCCAGTTCTTCCACTAGATGGAGGTGCACATCRGCAGATTGGAAGGGTTTGACATCAGTCAACAACACGCTGCTGTAAGAGTTTGTTTTTCTCTGGAAGACCTGTTTTAAAGAGTCTGACTTTCCTCTGTTTGTATGAATATTTGGAGCCCAGAACCTGGTTTCAACAGTGGGTTTGGACCAGGGGTGTCCGATCCTGGTCTTTGAGGGTCACTGTCCTGCATGTTTTACTTGTTTCCCTGCTCYAGCGCACCTGATTCAGTGTTTGAATCACYTCTTCAAGTTCTGCAGCGACTTGTTAATCRTGTAAGTTCAARTCAGTTGTGTYRGAGCAGAGAACCCCCCTAAAATATGGAGGATAGTGACCCTCGAGACAGGATTAGAGACATCYATTTTAGTAGTTTCTCTGCTCTAACACACCTGATTTGAAAGAAAATGTGATTAACAAGTGTCTGCAGAACTTGAAGAGGAACTTCAATCACTGAATCAGGTGTGTTGGAGAATGGAAACAGGTAGGATAGCGGCCCTGGAGGACCAGGATTAGACAGTAATGGATCACATCCACAATAACTGACCCTGACCAATGACGTAGTGAYAGTTTAGAATGATATAAATGTTTAATCTTACATTAAATAGTCAGGCAGTTCCTCTGCGGAGGTTCGGTTAACAGGTGTTTTCTCTCCATCGTGGTCCGTAGCTGTCAGAAACACACAMACAGATGTTAGAGAAAAGGTCTGCCAACACACAAGATAATGAGCCCGTCATATCAAGGCCAACTGAGACGTTCTAACAGGCTTTGATGATAAGAGTCCAAGGCGAGCCGTGACGTCAGCCGAGATGAGCAGGAGGTGAAGCTGCCTGCTGACTCGCTTGACCATAGGTCACCCATCTGTTCTGCAGTCAATCATCAACAGACCAGAGGCCCAGACTGTCACAGCTCTAACTTCTCTAATGATCGGATATAAAATAAGGCTTCCAGAAACAACTAAATCTGGAGGATTTTATAAGTCATGCACAGATATTATACTTATTCATGACACAGCAGATTCTTCAATCTAAAAAGAAAAAAAAAACGATCTTAAATCATGAACATTTACCTTTGATGTTTTCTTGGTTCTGCTTCAGCTCTGGACTAGTCTCTATCCAGTCTGGTTTTAAGCGATCCCGTTCCTTGTCTTTGTGTTTTTTGGACTTTTTCTTTTTATGCTGGCCGTTGCTGAGCTGCTGCTCGGCACATCTGGAGGCGTCGTTGAGCGGGGACTTGGGACTGGGAGAAGTGGGACTTGGTTCTGTCCTCTCTAGCTTGGAGAAAGCAGATGAAGCGCTGAGTTTGTGTGGCGAGTACAGACCGTCGGGGCTTCCCTGGAGACGGCTGCTGGCTTTGTCAAAATCAGATTTAATCTCGGCACAGGAGTTTTTGTGACTGAAAGAGCTGCGGGCTCCGTTGGTGCCACAGTCTGGACGGGAAGGTGACTGCAGGGGCAAATGGTCTCCGGACAGCTTTTGTTTTTTAGGGGTCTGAATGTTGGATGGTTCTAAAGTCAGTGGGCGTTTCTGGAGTGAAGGAAAAAATAAACAKCACAGAACAGCTGTCACAAATAGATAGTTTCCTGTAGAGTCATGACGAGACAGGAAATTGCTTTTTTAAACATTTACGACCAAATTGTAGTTCAGGGTTCCTACAGCTAAAGGCAAATTAAATTTAAGACTTTTTAATGCTTTTTAATGCCACTTGAAAGGAAATTTAAGACTAACGTCACAATAAACACAAATATAAAAAAAACGAAACAATTTTACCCAAATTTTAACGCAAAACAACTAGCCGTGGTAAATTTGGTAAATTGTTTAAAAAAAAATAAATGTTACCAATTATTTTAATATTTGAGACAAATACAGTCATCCTATTTACAATGTGTTAACATTTTTAAGACCTCTGAAAGATTGACTTGAGATATTTTAAGGCTAATTAAGGCCTTATTTTTGGATTGATGAATTCAATGCCTTTTAAGACTTTTTAAGGCTCCACGGGAACCCTGTAGTTTGCAAGTCCTGGCCTTATTTGGCTGTTCTGTCGCAAATTCTGTGACGTAATAGTTCAGAAAACATGACAGAAAATAGAGAAAACTGAACAGGCTGAAAAATATATCCCAACCAGAATATAAAGGTATGTTTGCAGGGAGCAAACTGAACTTTTCTGAACTCCTAGAGAATCCAAGTAAGCAACTAAACTAAATTTAAAGGCTAAAAATGTGCATTTTGCCTCATATTGTTAAATGTGATATTTCCAAAAAATTTAAAGTTGCAAACAACTTATTCAGATCTAAAGGTATAAAGACAGTCCTCATGTGTTTCATGTGAAAGCTTGAAGGGCGAAATTTGCAAGACTCTCTGAGAAACTTAATATTTTGGGGAAAATCTGAGGCATGGGAGTGATTAGCTGCAGTGAACAAAAGCTCAAGAAAAGAAGTGTTGGGATTTTTCTCTCCTTTCTATTCCTCCCTCGTGTCCCAACAGGACTGGTCATACAACCAGCATTACTAAAATCAGGCTGAACAAAGTGGACATTTCTTGTAGAGGAAGACTACAACCGATTCAAGAAATAAAGTGTCAGTCGACTTTTAACCAGATGAGAACAGATAAAATCTTCAGGAGCTACTTGTGTCATGGTAGAGAAACCTTTAAGCACGACGGCTGTAACTTCCTGATAAAGATCATGCAGGCGAGTTGGGGGTTAGGCCTAGATAAAAATCTTCCTCCTCATGCTGACTCGTGAATCCACTGAAGCGGATCACAAAATGTGTGGAACACATTGGGATGACACTAAAAATCACGTGATCTGAACTTGGCTCAGTGTTTAACTTATTCTGTTTCATATTTACTGTAAATGACAGACGTGATGCCGATCTTTATATTCTGATTGGAGCAAGCAGTGCGAGCTGTATACACTCAAGCTACACAAAGAGAAACAAAAAATAGTCAACAAATGCAAATGAAGACGACGAAATACCTCAACTTCAATTTTGAAGAAAAAGAGGAACTAGTAGAAGTGCAGTTGAATAATTACCACTGAGAGGTTCTTGGCCGGGCTGAGTCGTGACGGAGAGTCGCCAAGTGTTTTGTGGAATGAATGGTTGGACTGCGGGCTCTTTAACTGGCTACTGTGGAGCGGCTGACGTTTCCTGGGGAAAGATTTAGAGGACAGCACCTTCAGTTAAGACACAGACTTTAAGGTAAATGACCCGTGAAGCCAAACAGGAAGAGGCAGTATGTCAGTCGTGCGGTCACAGAGCTCACGTTGGCAGATCTATGTGCAACAGGATGAGCAATTTCTGTTGCGAAAAAATATGAGGTTTTTTTTCCTCTCCCAGAGAAGTAAGCAACGGTCAAAGTAAAAATTCACAGCAGGCAGCTTCTAAAAACGAGCAGTTTACTGGTTTGAACAAAAGCAGCAGCTTTAACCTCTGCGTGGCCAAACCCATTCTTCTGCTAAACTGCACCTTCCTCAAACAGATGCCATTACAAAGAGTCACCCTCTGCCAGGAACTTAAACTCTTTTAATCATATTTACAAAGATAATTAACTGCATAATCATCAAATACCAACCCACAGCACTACCAGAAGCTCTAAAAATAACATCAAAAGGAGAAACTAAACGAAACAACCAGTAGCAATATCTTTATAGTTTGAAGCATTTCCTGGCAACCGCTTCTTTATTGTGTTTGGCAAATAATTGGATCAGTACAGTTTTGAGCTTTTAGCACTCGACATGGGGTGGGGGCAAGAAATCTGCCAGCAGGACTTGCACTTCTTCCAAAATTGTAGTGAAGCACATGGCTTACATATTTACTGGCAGGCAGAGGAACCATACGAGGCACAGAAGGTCACGCTGAAAAGCTCAGCCTTGCAACTCCTGCCATTTGGCAAGGCAGTGCAGCAGAATATTCTCCTCCTGCTTTGATGTGTCAATTAGGAGAATCAGCAGAGGAGAGCAGCACTCCTTTAGAAGATCTGCTTTAAAATGATCCCAGCAGTGTTCCAAATGATGAAATTGTTCTTTTGTGTTAATGTTGCCACAATCCCTCCGTCGTCTTTGCATGAGCTACTTCAAGAGGGCTTTAACAGGCTAAAAGAGCTTAAAAGGTTCTTGTCCAGAGGGTTTGAGAAATATGTGTATAAATGCTTTCGCACAATGTTCTATAAAAAAGAAGAGGCACCAACTTCTGTTTTCTGCATAATTAAGTAAAATGTATTTTGACTGGACTGAGAAGCTAATAGAGTGAGGGTAAGAACAACMTGGRTTGCTGCTGTCTTAAAACACCTTTAATCTAAATAATATTAATCAAGGTTAATGTGAACTCCATTATCATTGCTAATGACATAGAATCCTGTGGTTGTTTGCAGCTGTAACATTTAAATAATTCTGCTAAAATAAAGATACAATTTTTGATTATTTTTAAGAACGGGGGTATTTTAAGACGGCAGCATTACTTTATGATCTAGGCCTCACTCAGACTGTTAGCTCATCAGGCTGGTCTAATTTTAACTATTTCTCCAAACTGAAGTTGCTGAAACAACTAATATCCAGTGGTGGGCACAATTAACCAAAATGTTAGCTTTGCTAACTCATTATCCATTAACTAAACGTATAGCTTCACATGTTAAAATAAATAAATTAGCAGAAGCTAACAGCTAATCACTAAGATGACCCTCAGTCTGTGTCATACATCTTTGTCTCCTTCGAGCTGAAGGCTCGTGGGACTGASACAAACCTGTTGATGGTAGTTTGTTAGTTAGCTGTTAGTGAACTTAAGTTGGCAAAACCTACTTGTAATTTAACAGAAGCTAATTGTTCCATTAATGATTTTCTAAGTTTTGAAAAGACTAATACGCTAAAAAAAGATTCTGTTATTAGCTATTAGCTGATTAGCACCACCACTAACAACCTTTTAACAGAACCTGTGACTTATACCTTTTATTTAAAGGCACAATGTGTAGGATTTGTTGTTTTCAGCGACATCTAGTGGTTGAGTGGTTGAATCCTCCTCCCTGGTCCTCCCCCCACCTCCACCCCTGCTTCCAAACACAAAGGAGTTGCTACGGTGTCTCTCAGGTGTCAAAAACCTTTGATAATTCCAACCGCGATGTCTACCAGCAGCTTCAGGACCAGTGATGTTTCAAGTGGTAAGATTATGAGCTTTAATAAGTAAAATTATCCCAGCTACAATGACAGACAACAAATATTACATTTATAGTATTACAACTAAAACCGTTTTTGATGCTGCCACCGCAGTTTGTCCTTTATGAGCCTTCGTAGACAAGATGGCGGTGCAAGATGGCGGCTGCCTGTAGTRGAGACCCGCGACCATGGAGATATAAACAGCTTTTTATAAGGTAAAAATAATAAAACAAGGTCTTTGTCTGCAATGATTAGACATGTTTTTTATTATTGTCATTAGTAATTATCTCAATTTCGTCTAAAAGAATTGACAAAATCCTACACACTGTGCCTTTAAAAAATATAAATGTTAAGCTGTAAACCTTTGAGATGCTATTTGTTTGTTCTTGATTCCGTTTTAATCAAATGTAAAATGTTACCCAGTTGTTGGTGGTCTGCCCATATTCATGTAGACTAAACAAACATGTCAACTCATTTACTGGAAAAAACAAATAATTTTCAAAACACAGCTTATAACAAATATTTTAAAACGTATGCACAGTGACTTTTAGCATTTTTAAATCATTCAGCGGAGGGAAAAAGGCTAACTTAAATCTTACCTCATCAGCAGCCTGTGGATAAGTTGCTTCTCCTCTTCTAGATATCCAGGCCAGTCTCTCTGGACGTGTCTGTAGAGTTCATCCTTCAAAGAATAGCTGTGGTCTTTAGGATTCTGTTTACCAACCTGAAAAACCAACAGGTCCACAAAATGGTCAAAATTCTACAAAAAAATAAAAATAAAAATAAAATGTCATTTGAAGCAGTAAAAGCACCAGAATCCTGCTAAGCTGGCTCTGTAAGGTCCTGTGAATAGTTAAACTTCCCACTTTAMAAACTTTTAACCAAATGCTTCAAATTTGACCAAACCAAAACAAACAAACAAAAACCTAAACAACTTTTGGTTCTGCGAGTCTGATCCCAGCTGGAGTCGCCCCACCTCTCTACTGTCAAAGCACAATCTTCTCATCCAAAGATAATCAAAGCACAAACCTAATTACAGTTACCAGTGATTGCACAAGCTCCCACTTGATGAGTGCAGTGGGACACTCAGACATTGTGAACACAGGAAACATGCCTAAAATACGCCTAACTGGCCTTACCTTTTTATAGCAGACTTTTCAGCTGCACGTGACTTGTTTGATCACTAGGAGCAGCAGAAAACTAAACCACATTACTAAATTAGTCAGCTAAATCTGAATTTGCCTTCCATTTTATTTGTAACTAACTGCATTATGTACGTTTTTATTAGCTGGTAATGTGTTTGCAGACTCCCACCTCATCTAGTACCGAGGCCAGATCAGCCTTGTCCTTTGGGCTCGCCCGCTCCCTCTCCAGCCACAGGAGCACTTCTGGTTTTCTGTAGGGCTTTAGGGCCAGGAGATGAATGATGCGATCCTTTAAGGATCGATGTGCAACAGGGCTGGGGAGCAGGGTCCTCTTGTTGCTGGGGGAGTGCTTGTTGGTGCTGTCAGAGCTCAGCACCATGCCTGGTTTCCTCTGGACCTTTACACATTTACCTAAAAAAAGACGTAGATGTAGGAGGCTATTTCGTAAAAGTAGGGGTCTGACCATCTATCTTCAAATGTAATTTTAATAATATAGTAGATATAATCACAGTACCAAATGTATGAAAACTTCAGGATACATATTATTATATGAACAAGTTACCAAGAGTTTAAAAATATCTCAAGAACTGGTGTTTGACTTTATCTGCTCTTCAAACATGACTTGGATCACATGACATAAAAGTTACAGAAGAAAAATAAATTTTGCACAAAAAAATTATTAAACAATAAAAATATCTTAAAATCGTCTAAAAAGAGTGTGCCTAATCTGTTCTGTTAAGTAGAACAATTTCACATTAGTTTTAGACAGAAGACAGCTGACCCACATCAGACTATCTACACAGGGTTAGACGGGAGGAAGACGTCGCTGAAATCCTGTAGCGTGAATTTCCAATATCTGACCTGAAACATTGCTGCAGACTGTCTGACAGGAAATTCCCAGTGGAGGGGGTGTTCCAGTTTAAATTTATGACTGGTAAGTGGGAAATTCTAACTTCCCAGTACAACTGGACCAGCTACTTTGAACCCTATAATTCTTTGAATTTATGTCTACATCTGATTAACTTTTAGAACCAAACAACCAACTATGGGAAATACACATTCCTACAAGAATGACAGCTTTTAATATAGGCTGCTTTAAAAAAATATCTCCTGTAAAATAACCTCCAACGTAATCCAAATCCAGTCCTCAGGGCAGATTTACAAATCACACCCTCATTTTGAAAGACATGCCTACACATGAGATATAGCCAGACAAAGTGTTTCATTATTATCATTATATCACTTTCTTGTCATGCAGTCAACTTTATGCAAGCTCTGCTGATAAGACTGCAACTATGGCTCAATCTGAGGGAGCAGTTTTTGTGCACAAACACGGTGCTCGTGCACTTCTCACCACACACGTGCAGTGGCAGTGCTGCCGTCGCTTGTGTAACGGGGAGATAGCAGGTTTGTCTGCTCTTATGTAAACAGAAGAGTGGAGAAATAATCATCTAGTTGTAGAACCGATTCAGACGGACCCGGTTAGTCAGTTCTTATTGATACCTGCAGGTTTAATCTCGTCACAAATGTCTGAAATACTTCAGTTTGGAGTTGGTTAAAGATTGTCCCATACAACTTGGTAGGTGTTAGACCTCACTGAATAATACAGTTTTAGCCAAATACAGTAAGAATGTGGGTTTTAATGAAGAGCGTATAGTTATCTTTTAACTTTTACCTTGAATCAGGTCCTTGAAGTATTTTTAGCCAATTTATTCTGGCACAGAAACAACCCGCACTGCAACATTTCAAACATGCCGGGACTAGTGCCACTATGTCACAGTCATAAACTAAAGCAGCCTGAGGGTATTTTTAACAGTTTCAACCTAGTCTTTTGTGGTACTTTCCAGGCCGACCTACAATAACTGTTGTGATTTACTGTGTTGTGGATGTTTTTTTTATGAGTAATGGTTGAACATTAAATGCACCACCTGTAAGCAGCATCTTACAGATTTTGTTTTTGATAAAAAATAAATAATAATAAAATCGTCAGACATGTCCAACACCAGGTGTGCACAAATTTATTCTGCTTCGTTGTCAACTCCTCTYTCCTGCTGGATTCCACCGAACTTTAAAATCACACACGATTATCTAAATTGTGTACATTTTTTCTCGTGCAGCCTGTAATTGCGAGTTGGTGCATTTTTTTCTATTTTCCTTTTTTTTGATAAGTATATCATTACTGTACCATAAAAAGATGGAAAGTTACCACAAAACAACTGTGCTCTCTCCACGGCATGTGGCTCGCGCTGTGAGTCATGACCCATTTTTTTCCCTCCCTAGAGAAGAAGTCTCGGATCTTTACGTGCATGAGAAGACATGTTTGAATAAAAGAGGAAACCCTATAACTCTGAGCGTTCAACCAGGAATTCTCATGTCTTTTCAAACATTTTTTTAAAACCTCATAGAGACTTTTAACTGCAGCAGAGCAAGGCAAGTAATGGGTAGCAGCTGGCTTTTAGACCACCTCTAAAGATTACGCTGTAATATCTTTCTGGATAAAAAGTTTCCTTTAATAAATGGAACCAATTAGTCACGAGAAATACATATCATCRTGTCAATAAACGTCGAGAAAAATCATTCATAGCGATCCAGCACAGCCAGTTTTTACAGCATTGAAGTTGAAAATCCAAGCTTCAGTTGAGAGAAAGAAGTGATTAAATATGTATAAATGTAAAATGGAGCTTCTTCAGATAAGATGCAGATCATTCCAGATTTAATTAGTTTAGTTTAAAAAATAATGTTTAAACAAATTGAAATAATTAATTTTCAGTCAGTATATTTTTGCCAAAACCTCATCAACACGAGACCTGTTTGTGCAGGGTTTTGGCAAATTAGTTCACATTAACGGTGCTGGAAGGTGAACTGGTGACATGTTTGAGCATTCTGGTCAAAATGAAAGCAACATTTCAAGATGTGAAAAGTTGCAATGAAGTTATTTGATCAGTTTTGTGACAACTTTCATACCATTTGGTCAGCAGGAGGAAATCGAGAGAGACAAAAGCTTTCTGAGCATTTAATACTTCCTTGTTTATCTGTATTTAATATGCTTAAATGTTATGCCATCCATCCATCCATCCCTTGTGGTAAAGACTTACTTGGCCCTGGTTTGATCTCAATCGCTGTGCGGCTCCAGATGTCCTTCTCCACCTGAGACATGCGCTCCCGTGTCGTTTGGTAGGAATCATCCGTGGCACAAACGATAATCTTGTCTTGAATGCTGCCCTGGCTCTCCAGTTGATCCCTGCCCTCCCTGCGTATGAGAGGAAGACTTTTGAGTGGCTCAGTTCAGTTAACTCAACATTATCTGAAACAACAGAAGTGGTTCTTATGTTGTCACCTCTTGCGTGTTAGAACAGATTCTGTGACCACATGTAGTTAAACCTAAAGGTGGCATCTCTTTGGGTTGTGGCTGTGGAGTTGAGCTGGAGACTCACATATGCAAGAAAATATACAATTTTGCCATCACAAGACATTATGGAAGCTCTCTCATGAACGTTGGTCAACTAGTAGCTGGACAGTAAATACTACTTTAAGGTTATTTTACTCCTATTCTTGTAATAAAATAACTTGTGATTTACTGTGTTCAAATGTAAGTGCTTTCTCTGTTTAAAATGGTTACTGGCACAACAACCACTCTAATGTCTACTTTAATCTATTTCAAAGAATTATGTTTGGTATTATTGTTAATTATCTTTTATGAACATTAAAAAAAGACAAAAATAGTCTTACATTTTTGTCTCAAAAACCTGGCTTAATTTATTTTGTTGTATTACAAAATTTTTGKACATGCCGACATCTGTTGAAGGCTTGATAACTTTTACATCTGCATACTGACATCACATTTGTTTATATAAAAGAAAACGATAATTGATGTGTATCAACTAGGGATGCACAATATATTGGCATTCATATCGGTATTGGCCRACATTGGTCATTTTTTTTGAATATCGGTATCRATATTAACATCCGATATTGATTTCTCACGTTTTAGCTTTGTGTTTCTGTTTTGGGATGGGAGATGGTTGGATGAGCAGCATCTGTTTGATCAYGATAGTGATAATGACGCTGCATAGCCAGGAATAACAGAAGTAGGGAGCCATGTAAGAGGTCTGGTTGTTTATTTACGGCATCAAGAAAAGACCCAAATGTGTTTGTGCGTATATGTATAATGTAATATGTGTGTTTGTGTAATATCGGTAAATTTTGGTAATCGGCCATAATGGCAATAATTATATCGGACATCAATATCGGCTAAAATTTTCATATCAGTTCATCCCTAGTATCAGCTTCTTTAAGGAGTGTCACATGAAGCAGTGGGACATTTATCTGCTACCATTTGTGACTTAAAACTATGGACAGAGGTAAAGGCAACAATAGGTAAATGGGTTTTGGCCCAACTCTTTTACAAAGGTATCTATGGTTATTGAGGTTAAAAACTTACTTATAATGTTATCTCTTAATCAACTTTTTGACATTAAAGTCCCAAAAACATATTCGTTTCCTTGTAGTATGGCAGTCTATAAGTACTATTGTGGTTAAACGTGGCCTGAACACTGTCTATTGTTGTGAAGTTGAAGGGAGAGATCAGTGTTTGGTCTCAGACTGACACCAGATTTACTTCACATTCCATTTGTGGTCAACAGTGGAAAGTATGCGCTGCTTACCCTGAGACGTACTGGTGAATGCAGTCGAAGCTGGACTGAGGCTTGTCTTTGCTGTCACTGGACAGGTAAAATGAGAAGACTCTGAATCCCTCTGGAGACTCGGGGATTGGCACTGGGATCTTTACATACTACAGGAGGCAAACACAGACATGTAAAACAAAGACTATGATGCTGGTAAATTATATTTATATAATAAAAGTCTAAAGAAAAAAAAGACAATGCATTAAACTAGTTGTGTGAACCACAGCCATGACATGTTAATATTTAACATTTAACAGTTTACAGTGTTCTCTGATAGGCCTGAACTTATCTTGCTGTTTTGAGTGGCGAGTTATGTAATAGGCGTACTTATCACTCCCAGAAGCTGAAACAAATGAATGTAATCTTAAAAAAAACAGCAACAAGTAAAATGACGACTGAAACCCATGAGTGCAACCATTACATGTTTTTATGCTCATCTGTGCAGTAAACATGACCTAAATAATCTGTCATGCGGGCACGTCATTAAAGCTACATGGCACCTCCCAGGTCGAGAAAGACGACCTATGGTTCAGCCATGACAGGATACTGTCTGAAGGGCAAAAACACAACAAAAAACACAAAGGACGGCTTCCTTGCTTGGGTTTTTAATTTCTTCTGCCACAAAGTACCCATCCCTCCCTCCCAGCAAACAAGCCAACAGCGCAAAGTCTATCTCTGTTGGATAGCTGTTACATAAAATGACCTGAAAACCCACTTMCACTAAAAGGATAGTTCAACATAGAAAGTCATTAACCTCCAGGTAAAATGTCCTTTAAACTATATTTTGTAGCAACTTTCCTCTACACTGCCTGCAGCTGTGTCTCAGTCTGAAAATGGACAGTTTAGTGCTTTTGTCAACAGAGTGTCCCAGATTTATATAAAGCAGTCTTTTGTACTTTTTTAAACTTCTTCCCTATTAATGGTATATCTCATACCTATGCATTCATTTGTTTTAGATGGGTGGACTGTTTGCTAATGGTTGTAAGTGATTGATTATAAGCCTTGTGTTTGACAGAACAGTGCCCCTGGCAGATGTGACAGCTGGGACTAACTGTCACAAATGCCCAGTCATGCAGCAAAACCATAAGCAGCTTTTTTTTTTACATTCCCCCCTTACCATAGAACCAGTGAACAACCCCATTTCTCGACACCCCTCCTTCCCCTGAAACCCAGTGCATGCCATTCACCCTACCCCCATCTGCCTCCAGCTTTCCTTCGTGTGCACAAGTCCACCCATGTCAACACAAAGCAGCCCACACGGCTGGAGACTCTTAAGACACAGCTGACCATTAATTTTGACCTATTTATGTCAGACTGTTAGCATAATGTGGTGCAGCAGAGTCACATGCGTGTCTTCTGTGGCTTTTCTGCCAATTGGGAATGATCAACAACACGAGGGGAAAAAAAGTATTCTCAAGAGTTTAAAATGAGAGTGAATGCAAATAAAAGCAAAGTGATGAGATGAAAGTTTTTGCACATTTAGCATTGCAATAGTGCCACCACGTCCCACAATTCAGTCGATGGTAGCAACATCTCCCCCACCAGACATGCATTGGATTTGCCTGTCACCACCGAGCACACTTCACATTCTAATTCTAATCAATGTCACTCAGGTCAGACTGTTCAGAGGTCACCCCCCCCCCCCCCCCCACACACACACACTTTATTCACAATTTCTTTTTCCAAGCATAATAACCATATGTCATTTAACCCATTAATTCCCAGCTTCTGATTCCCTTTTAGATAATCTCAGGATCATAAATGCAGACATAAAAGGGGAAAACACGTGCTTCACTAAACCTGAATAACCTGAATCTGAATAGTTTGATCTGTTGGATGGAAGCCAGCTGGATTGGTTCTGCAGAAAGTCTGAACATTAGTATATTATGTAAAATTAGTATAGTAAGAAAGAATAATAGTTACTATAATAGTACAAAAGTAAGTATATTCACACAAAATCCTTTTTAGTAAGCCACAAATTGAGGTAGATGGCATGCACAAACATTATTTTCTCTCCCATACTTTTTCTCATAATTAAAAAGAAAAATATCAAATGACTTTCTAATAAGAGGGAAACGTAAGGTGGTCCTTAATTATCACAAGTGGAAAGGAAAATAGACTGTGGAGCTCCTGCTTTTCTTTGCTTTTTAGTTTTGAGGTAATGGAAGTAAATAAAGTTATTAAGCCAACACTGAATGTTGATGGTGTTAGTCAGTCCCATTTGTTAGGTGTTTATGCTGGACAATTTTTATATTTTTGTAAAATTTGACTTTATTCACTTTTACTGGATTTATATCCAGACATAACTGTATTGAGCCAACCTATAATTGGATGGTCCATCCATCCATCCATCCATCCATTTTCTTCCGCCTATCCGGGGTCGGGTCGCGGGGGCAGCAGCTTCAGAAGGGAGGCCCAGACC